TTTGCTCTGTAGCAAGGAAATAAAATATGCACAAATCACTTTGTGGCGTTAACTAATATTGTCGGTTTTTCCTCAAAATTCATTTAAAAAAATTGGTTTAATTTAACCAATCACTTTGAACCAGCACAGCATATACAAATGTACTCTTATTGCTCCAAACCAATGGAGGAGCATGTGTAGTGCAGTACATGCATTTATTAATTAGAATTAAACTCCTCAAAAACCAGGGTACTGTCAGTTGTTATGCAGATAGGCTTCATTGCCCTAAGTAAGAATTGCAGACTACATATAATTAGGGAGAGTCAGAGAGAGAGAAAGAAAGAGAAAGAGAGATGTAATATTGCAACACTTGACTTACCATCTTCCTGAATCAAATTATTCAGCTTGCTCCTCAAGGACTGCAATATTAAAGCCTTGTCTTTAGGTGCCTTTTTTTTGGGCTGATCACCTGTGGACCCTGACTCCTTCAGTTTTACTTGCAGCAGCTTTGTGACCACAGCAAGTTCTAAATTAAATTCCATATGTCAAGTGTGAAAACAAGTACAATCACGACAACTAAAAGGTCCAAGGAAAATTAGGAATAGAGCTCACTAAGTACATACAGTTCTTTTATCAGTGCAGTGATAAAATTATCCTAAACATAACTAACTTGACCAAGTTCCCAGTTTAAATCACCAGACCTGACCCTTCTTAAATGGTACTGGCAGCTAGTATATTGATGCAACATCACTGATTTGCTGGTATTCAATTGGAAAACATCCTAGTAATTATGCAACTGTGGCTCCCTCATTAAAAGGGATACTAACTGATAAAGGCTTCCTTTAATAATTGCAATAATAATTATTATCTGGAGGTTTTAATGGCTTATTATAAATACCATTTTTAGTAGAACAAATATATATATATATTAAATGCCAACCTGTAATAGCATGCACAATATCTTGGTCCAGTTTATGCAGCCTTTTGCCCTCTAGCTCCTCTGTCTTGTATAAAAACATGAGTACCATACTTGCAAAGGCTGTTTTTGCTTTGGCATCTTTTTGTGCTGCATACACCCTGATAGGATCGATCCACACTCCATTGCCTATTTCTTCCCACTGTGAACGAAAAAATAATTCTTACATATTTAATATGACTACAGGATGCAAATGAAGAATAAAAATTTGATCAAAAACATCACATATGTATATTGACTAAGTATTACAATTAAAAAAGCAACATTGGAGCAGGCCAAAGGGGAGGGTGTTTCCTTATTTGCCTTTAGTTTTGTCAGTTGCCATTATTAGCCCTTTACACCTTAATTTCATTATGCATATTCTCCATACTGTTCTTTATACATTTCCTAAGGTGCTGACAAGTAGAATTTGTTTACTGATCAAAAGCTTCTTTTGTTGGTAATCATTTTCTTCATTCTTGTGACCTTAATGTGTGATTCAGGGGTGATATTGAAAGGAGAAATTAGATCTTAGTCACTCTTAGAGTTAATAGGGTTAATGGCTGTAAGTTAGAGGCATATCTTTATAAATTGTTTAACTTCCTGTTAAGTGCCTCCTGTCTGGGTACTTTCCCATACCTCAGGATATTCTTATCCTGATTATACGCCTCTCCTGGATTTGGAGTTAATTCTTTTGCCATAATTTTGTCAAATTAAAAAAAAACATATTACACAAAGTTAATATTAGAGATTTTCTTAGAATCAGGTGTCATCTTAACAGAAAATAATATCTGTCAATTAATAGGACTCTTGATTTATTTTGATGCATCAATGTCCCAACACATCAGTAGATAAAGATATACTTGGATATAGTGCTAATGCAGATCTTCACAACTGCTCTTCCTGAACACTTTTTTTTTTAATGCTTGTAAGCCCTGGATATAAGTTCTCCTGTTGTTAAACCTATACTCAAACCTGTCACGGATTTGTATACATGAAAGGCTTATAAGCAAGATTTTGTGGTATATATTATATATAATTATATATCTGTTGGTTCAACTAACCAGCATCGGCATATTCTGCTGATTTTTCCTTGAGGGACTCTTCTTCATCCCTTAGTCTTTGCTTTTCCTCTCCGTAGAGCATGTTGTGACAGCGACTACCACACAGAAATAAGAAAATAGTTTATTTCTGTCAATTCAGATGGTCAGAAATTAAATCGTTGATGCATGATTTTGTCTTTTCGCCTGCTTGGGAGTGAATAGTACTTGCGAATCACTTCCGAACCAACCAATTAGAGTGCATGAAAAGCACTATTCCCCTGTGTGGTGTATATCAATATGACGTACTCTAAAAAAACGGATTTTAGTTAGGATCAATCAAAGAAATTACAATGGTACTTCTAGGTATATTCACCTCTTTGGGCACTCCACAACATAAGCACAGTCAACTCTAATCATCATAACTATCACTAATTTTTCTGAAGGAGCAGGAAAAGTGTCTTAAAGCATTCAATTTAGCAAAGTTGTAATGTAAAAAAGAAAAATAACAAAAACGATGCACATACCTTACTCTCTTCCTAGCCTGGCTTTAAATGAGTAAGTTCGTCTTGTTTAGCGAGTGTAACCTGGGGAGAGCTTGGTGACCGAAAGAAACCAAAACGAGGCTATTAGTAGTGGGGACCTTTCAAATTTATATAAGTACTTACGTCGTGAAAATGTCGATACGATCCTCCAGGCACGTTTTAAGACTTGTAGCTAAGAAAAAAATTCTTGTCACCGATAGACCGGAAAACTTATGGACGTGTCAGAACAGCAGCTGATGGACTGTAGCTGGGGGTTTGGTAACAGTGGCTGTCGAGGAGGTTACTCATGGAAAGCTCTCGTCTGGGCTAAGAGGCACGGAGTTGCCTCTAGTAGCAGCTATGGCAGGTACCTTGCTCAGGTCAGTATACTGGTTTTTTATGCTTTGAATCCAGAAAACTCACCTGGAAGAGACGACAAGTTAAACTAGAAACCATGACGCTCTTTTAACACCCACATGTTATCTAAAGAGACTATTGCGGTTATATGTTACATTAACGTAAGGGCGAGCACGCCTTTTACTTAAGGACAGGTGAAATTTTTGTATAATCAGAAGAAGTACTTGCCTGATTAATTATGATTTATTAATTGAATACTGACATTATGATATTCTAAGCTATTCTGTTCCTCTCCGACCTACCGATAATGATGGCAAATGCTACGAGGCCTAACTAAAAGCATATTGAAAAAATGTTCAATTGAACTAATCTGGGATTACATTGGTTTTGCTTTACTTCAATTTTTGATATGTCCAGAAAACTCACGCCATCCTCTCAACCAATCAAATCCAAAACTAAAACCAATCACGACTTGATCGCCTGCGTTTTCCCGCCCTTTAGTTAGTTGGTTGTTTTTACTCTAAGTTCTCACTGGATCTTAAAAGTCATGCTTCTGATTGGCTGTTGTTATTACTTTGGTTTTGGTTTTATGACACTCAATCGAAAAGCGTTCTATTTGTTTATAATCGAACAATATGCCTTCATGTGATACGCACAGGAGGGATTCTGCCATTGTGCCAAAGAAGACGGTTGTGATGTGGTGAAATTCAAGCGAGTGGTGACTGTGAAGAAAAAAGACGCAGAGGCGTTGAAACATGGCCTAGCCAAGTTTGGTCCGGCGTCCATCGCTATCAGCGCCAGTCGAAAAACTTTGAAGTTTTACAACTCTGGCATTTATGATGATGAGGATTGCAGTGAGTAACACTCAGCTAGTATATACACTAATTTTCAAAATAATCAGCCCTCCTGGGGAGGTTTTCTAATAGTTGTTATCGTCGTTAATCTTTAGTACGCAAGAGCATATTATTTCAAACGGGATGCTGGGATTTTAGAAAAACCTAAATGACCCTATAAGAACTATTTTCTCCACAAGCGGTATCATGTACCTATGGAAAAGAAGAACGGCTCGTAACAGATCCCAAGGATTTAATTCTTTTTTTTTAATTTGAGTCGACCTCCTTAAACCGTTTTTTATCAAGAGGAATGTGAGGGAAGGTTATTACGACTGAAAAAATAGAACTTTTTGATAATGGATGGTACACAAGAGCTTAGGGTCGAGAGGGGGAAGTTTTGGGTGCACATGATCTCCTTTTTCAAATTTTTAAGGAAAAGGAATGATTTCAAAAGATAAAAGCGACCCCTCTCCTCCCTTCCATATACAAACAAGGCACTACTATGGAACCTCCCTACTAGACAAGTATTGATACTTTTGAAGCTCACCTGTTATCGGTAATGAATTTTTTTCCAAACTTTGGTTTTCTTTTTCTCTAAGGCACTCAAACAAATCATGGTGTTGTAGTAGTTGGTTACGGTGAAGAAAATGGCACCCCTTACTGGATAGTGAAGAATTCGTGGGGAAAATTTTGGGGCGAAGAGGGATTTGTTAAGATTGCTATGAAAGACAACTTATGCGGTGTCCTTACCAACGAACCTATATTTGTAACCATGAACGAAACCCTTGATGACGCGGGTGAATCTTATCCATTCATGAGGATGAAAAAACAGAGTTTTGTGGATGTGGAAAAAAAACTCAACGTAACTGCTTTAAAACTTTCGCCATTTGATTACAAGAGATCAAGAATACGATTTGAGGAACTTGCTAAGGAGCCAGATAAAAGGACATTCTCTTAAATTGACGATGAATGTTTTTAAAACCGGCCACAGCCGATCATGAGATTATTAACTGTTTATAGTCTCTTGAGCCGATTAAGTTAAGTTTTCAATTCATTGTTCTTATTGGTCTCTGTTTGGGGAACTGGAAGAAATACGAGGTAGCATGTTTTGGAGGTTTCGTCCCATTGCAAGTTCGCCACCTACTACCTTTACAACTTCGCCCCAACCTTTACCAGTTCGCCTTTTCTGCCGAAACCAAAGGTGAGGGTTGGGGCGAACTTTTCTTCCTTGGGCGTGTGTTCTTTGCTTTCATCAACGCCTTTTTTATGCCAAACGAGAGAATTGCAGTCTTCAATATAACGAGGCTTACTGTTTCTTTGTAAACCAAACCTAATAAATTTTATTTTTGCCTATTTACAGTAACATGACTTTGTGAAAGTTAGAAAAAAACTGTAGTGCAGCCTAAGGAAAAACTAACCGCACCTAAGTTATTTCTAAGAATTTCTTCGCTAATCAGAACAAACAGCCGGTACTTAGCGCTGACTCGGCAGAACCACACGGGAGGTATGACGACATCGAGACGCTTTTCGTCATCCTTGCATCCCTGAGAAGGGTCGTCAACTATTTTTCTAGAGGGAAACCTTATGCTCCAGCTTAGATCTTTCTATCCTCACGATGCCAAACTTGATTTTTAAAGGCTTGATCAATTCCTCGTATCTACCAGTTGGTTGTGGATGAAAAGTACTTTAATACTCTGGGTCTCCACACTTTGATGTAAGACTTTCCATGTTGCTTAGAATGGAATAATGCTCAATTCCTCTTCGGAATAGAACGTTATGCTCTGTCTAGGAACCTTGTTTAGTGTTTTCAGCGGAAACTCGGCGATAGACGAATCTTTTTTGATGGCCAACAAAGGTCCATTCGTCAATCCACATCTGTCATGATTCATGGCAATCTTGATGTAACCGTCATCACCCCAGAGGTGTCCCCAAGAATTTTTAATGATCCAATACGGAACGTTGTCGTCGGCACCATAGCCCACTGTTAATACAGCATGATTCGTCTTCTTTCCTATCGAAAAAAGAGGAATATGTAAGAAAACCTTTGATGTGTTCATTACACTTCCCTTCCGACACTTAGGTTTCGAGAAATGATTATCGATTCTGAAAGAGCAGTTTGAATTAATAAGATTTTGTGACACGGGCAGCGATGACCAAATACTGAACAGACAAGTGAATCAAAGCACTGGCAATCTCGTTCTCAGTGTTCACACTCACCTAATACCGTGCGGGCGGGAAACAAGCACCGCAAGGGATTAGGGGAGCATGACCTCTGGGAACAAGATTGGAACATCGGTGTAACCATCGAGTGCCAATCATGCGCAAAACTGATCTGATTAGACAGATCCTTTTGACGCCAAATCTGCTCAGAATGATATAATCTTCAAGGAAATCAATTTCTTCTAAGGAAAATATCACCAGGTCCTCTAAACAGTATTTAGAGCAGCATGTGACCTTTTGAAAGATGTGACCCTGTTCAATCCTTTTCGCTTTTAAAATTAGCTTCCTGCGAAAGGAACTGAAACCGACGCGCAACGATTTTTCATGATGTTATTCATGAGATACCTCGCAAAATAACGTCGAGGTTTCTCAACCATTAGTTTGATAAAATACAATTGAAATCAATACAATTCCGCTTATCTTATTCATTTGTAAGAGATCTAATTTATATCATCATCAAATTCAAGCTGAGAAAGCAGTTGCCATAGAATCGTTGCATAAAAAACGAAAAGATCATGTCAACTGGAAGCTACAACAATTGGATTTTATAACTCACCACATTTTGGATCATCGTAAATTCCGTGGCTGTAAAACCTAAAAGTCTTTTGGTCCGAGTTCATCGAGGACACAATGGGACCATGAGTGACCAAGGCGACCTTCAGAGCGTCAGAATTGTTCTTCTTTACTTTAGAAAACCCGCTGATGTGAGTGAAGGTACAGTTATCTGATTTACCGCAATGACAGAAGCCTTCCTGCGAGGAATGTAAAAACTAATAAGGGGATAGAACTGAGAAGACTGCACCCGATTCAAATGTTCTCCCCGATCGAATACCGCTTCTTCAGGCAATAAGGGACTAGAGGTATTGCTAAACTTAAACAGGATCCTTACCCCGCGCAAGTTTCCGCGCAGTTTGATCGGGCTCGCACATCAGTTCGCTCTTATACTCAAGGGGAGAGAGAGGAAACGGTAAGAGTAACGTGTCGTACACATGAAAACTCAATGACCCAGTCTTAATTCGAACTGGAACTCAATGCAGAATCAAGCCTTTCCGTCTCCTTTTATCCAAAACGAGAGAAACTTAAAATCAAGGTTTCGCTTATGCTGAAAGCCAGCTCACCTGTGCAAGGTAAGGACCATAATCTCTCCTGGAAGTCACTCCATTACGTTTCACCCATCTCAGAGTCCTGTCCTGGAATCCTCCACGACATCCGTGATTCCCTGCGGGCCACGAGCAGTCAATCAATTGCTGGTTTGAGAGTTCGAGGAGCTCTCCAGTCTGGTCAAAGAAGAAGAGAAAAGAAACTGAAATGAAACAAAACCATCATATGTATATGACACAGTTTCAGCAGTTTTAACAACCGTGCATGGTTGAAGTTGTACTTGACAATCGTTAAACGCGGTAAGTTACATGTTGAATGTGTCAGTCGTCTGCTCAACTAATTTTGCGCTAAGCTTGTGTCGGGGTAAAATTGTTCGCTTAGTCTTTTAGCAATAAAACTGCTACCTTGTAGTTAAAGAGCGACTGAATGGATACTCTTAGCAGCCAATCAAGACAATCAAGGCAACGACAAATATTGGGAAAGGACTTGGACACCACACAATCAGCAAGTTGAGAAGAGTCAGAGCATTTCCAGATTGCTTCCAGAACTCAATTGAAAATCGTTTGATGAATTCTCATATCTACAAAGCAAAAATTACATTTAAAAATCGGCCCCCCTGAAGGATCATCATGTGCTACCTTCAAAAAATGAGCTCCTTCCACTGCTCCAAGAGCAGAAAATGTCCAGCATGATCCACACAAACCTTGACTATGAACACGAGTCACAGCACCTGATGTACAAAGAACGGAGAGAAAAGTAAGAAATATCCATATGCATCGCCTGAAGTCCCCCCCCCCTCCCCCCCACCACTTACAGTACTAGTCTGAACATCACCTCCCCTCCTCAACCCCTTAAACAATCGAAAAAGGTAACAGATGATTAGCAATAATTTCCCCGTGGCATAGCTAAATGAATGTCAACAAGTTTGGCCTCATCAAGCTAAGTAGCCGCATAGTACACTCTTCGAGTGCATTCCATTAAACCAAACATAAGGCAATCACAAGGGCCAGTCAGAGCAAAATTACATATCACAAAGGAGCAATGGGAGTCCAAGAGTAAACATAAGTTTGCGGCCTCAGACAATTGACCGAGTCGCGATTGGTTTTTTAGTCTTAGCTTGCATCTGATAGTTGAGAGGGTATCGAAAGTTTTCCAGATCGATTAACAGAAAGGGGAAAATCAAACCCAATGCAATCTGATGCAATTCCGTACTGGCTGCGACACTAAATTGATAACTGTTCAATGTCGGAGGGAGTAGAACACGTAAAGAGATAAATCTAAAGTGAATCACTCTTTACACCCTAGCATCACTATCTCTATTCTCCATACCGTTCTATATACATTTCCTAAGGAGCTCCCTAGGAGAATTTGTTCAATAATCAAGAGCTTCTTTAGTTGGTGATCATCTCCTTTCTTCTTGTGACCTTAATGTGTGATTCAGGGGTGATATTGTGAGGAGAAACTAGATGCTAGTCACTCTAAGTGGTCAAACGGTTAATTTCAGTACCGTAATCTCTCCAGTCCAGTTGATGTGGAATGAGATCTGTATGTACAACAGACTCGTTAAACGCCAACGTATTAGACTTGGATTTCTTGAGTTTCTTTTCGTGAAGTAATCCTTTGTGTAAATTCACTTCCTGTTCTGTCATGTCAGCCATGTGATTTGGAGCTAATTTGTAATTCAGGTTCTCACGATTCTTCGAGCGAATGTATCTACAAAGGAAACCCTCACCATCGTCATCACTTCGACTTTACGATTATTACTAAAAATTCTGTATCCTTCCCCTTCGCAGATGCTCTTGTATTCCCCTGCGCGTGCACGGACTGTCGTTTGAGTAAGGGAAATGAAGAACCTTAGCACAGACGTTTCTGAGAGGCGAATGGCGACGGAAGTTAAGAGTTTGTCACCACAGCGTTTAGTACAACTCTTAAGTTTGTAGTGATTGGTTTGGTTTTTCTCACGCAAACTCCTGCGTGGTAGGCGCAAACAGTGGTAAAGAGGAGGGGTAGGAAGGTACGAGAGGAACGCGCGAGAGGAGGGAACGCTTTTTCCTATGCTTCCGACATGGATAATTTGTTTAACAACCAAGAGCTTTTTTCGTCGGTTACACTTCCTTTATTCTCGCGACCTTAAACTTTTGACCCTGAGGGATCAAAAGGTTGAGGATCTATTATACTTTTTGTAGCTAATACGCAAGACATCCAAATACTTTTACAAGAAAATTTGTGATGAAACACAAAGCAAGCAGCGTGCAAAGTACGCCGAAAGATCTACCAACACGATTGGCATGCATAATTATAATGTAAGTACCTGAGATTGTGTTTGAAGATATGTTTTCGTCGCTCGTGTTCCGGTGCAGTTGTGTAATGCTTGCCATGTGTTGCCTTGTAGTCATCGTAAGTCTTGTCGAGCTCGTAATCTTTGTGATGTTTGAAGTGCATGTATTCCGCCATAGGATTCGCTAAATAGTGCGAACGTAATTTCTTCGCTTTCTTGTCGCAGCTCGAGTCTTTCAAAAAAAAAAAATGCAAATTTTATTGGAGGCATGTTATGCATTCAGGACTTATAAACTAACTTTGTTTTAAAGACTAACATTGCGCATGCACTGATCTAGTGAGGCGATGAGTTGACTTTTCAGGATATGTGTGGCACCTATAACTACTGCCGGATGTGAGAGTCCGCAGTCGCAGAGGGAATAGGTCCGAACATTTGCCCCCGAGCGCTACTATGTTGTAATTTTGTTTCCGTTTGAGCAGGATACTGCTGCTCTCACAGTGTCAATTGCTATCCACAAATAGAGTTTTATACGAAAAGCAGCCGAGATTCATGCCTTACAAAACACCAACATAATCATTCCATTTGGTGAGGAATGTATCCCATCCGGAAGTCTTCTGCTTTCACTAAACTAGCTCTCCACTTTGTTTACAAACTTCGCGCTACCGCTCACCACCCCCCCCCCCCCAAGAAAAACTGCGACTCAGTTACCAGTGATTCCCCCCATCCCACCCTACTTGAAACCTAGCACGTGTGCTTGTTCGAAGTGAACCTCAGTAACTCACTGTGTTACTTATGCGTTTTGTGATAAGCCATCGTAAATGCTTCTGTTTAGGTTAAGAAACAGGCAATTTAAAACTGCTCTACCCAATAATCTCTAAAACAACACTTACTTTTCGGCAAACTTAACAAGGATCTGTTAAAGCTCCAAGGCTCGAATGATATATAGTCCAACACGTAGTGATCGTAATGTGACGTCAGCATGTCGTCATAGCCCACCATCTCGTATCGCAGAGGTCTGTGGGGTGTGTTTTTGGTTACGTAAAAGCTGTATACATTGCTTTTATTGTAACGTTTGTATTTTCTCTCGTATTTAAAACATGGCATTCCGCGATGCGTTTCCTCGGAAACAAACTGAAAAAGGAACTTAGAGTTAATTGTCGTGCATACCACTATATGTAACTTGTTGTCTTCTTTCTTCTCTGCCTATTCTTTTGAAAGTTTCAATAAGGTCGAGGTTTTTCATCGCATAAAAAAAATTATTGAATATTTTTGGGAATTGAAATATTCATTAATAAACTCGTCAGTGCGACCAGCTTGTTGGAAAAAGGACATTTGAAGTTTTGGCAAAATTAAGATGAAAACATTAACGTGATCAACCATTGAAATTGTTACGAAGGGAAGTCATAAATAGGTTTAAGGATAATGTTCTACAGAAGCAAAACCGTAGAATAACATTATTAGTCTGGGATTCAACCCCTTTGACTCCCTTGAAGTGATAAGCGTCCGATTTTCCCCCTAATATCAGCCCTGAATCACATATCAAGGTTACGAGAATAAAGGAAATGATCACCAATAACAGAAGCTCTTGATCGTTAAATAAATGCTCCTTAGTAACATCTTAGGTAATACAGAGCAAAGTGGAGACTATGCATACTGATGTTAGGTTGTAAAAGGGTTAAAGCCGACGTAGGAGCAATGTACAACAACTTTGCAGCAAGTCGTGTGATGCGCGACAAATTAAATTTATTCAATGATGTACAAAGATACTCAGCGCAGGCACAAAATGATGATTCATAGTAACCCATTGTGGTACAAGAGAAAACCCTACCACCCACCCCTCCTCCAACAACCCTGGGATCCCATTTCCCGTACACAGACTTCCTACACACAAGTTATTATCATCTTGGTTCAAGATTAAGCGTTGCATTCTCTTCCAACCAACACCTCTATCAAGGTGAGCTTAATAGAAATACTTGAAAGAGGTGTACAACACAGTCGACAGCAAGCTAACTTATCGGTTCGAACCTTAAACTCCGACAGATTTGTAGGTATAACGCTCTGTCCTGCACGCGGAAGCCATTTTGGAACTGGTTTGTACCAGCAGCTCATGAAGTCCTTATTGGAAGGCTTCATCTCGGAGTGCATAGGTACGATCTTAAACAAGATGCCATGCTTACCGAGGTCTCCGCGTTGAATTGTTTTGTCCATACCTAAGGTAGTAAAAAAATTGAGAAATAAACATGGAATACTAGATTTAGATATGAGTTCCTTATGCTCACGGAACTGCGCCAACATTGGTTTGCGATAATACGAGGTCGGATATATCCAGGATTCTATTGAGACAACATAAAGTCTTCTGTTCCTTTTTTTCTAACTCTTTGTAACTAATTCATCGTTTCACCAAATCTGTTTTCTTTTCCCCCATTCATTTGTTAAGCAAATTCTCCTTGTCATCCCCTCAGGAACGTATGGTGGTATGGGGAATATGCATACTGATACTAGAGTATAAATTATAAAGGGTTGTTGATAGTGGAATAAATCTTAATAAAATACTAATACTAATAGAGAGCATCAATACTGCAGATTACCCGCAAAACAAGCAAATGTATAACCAAAATATAAACTTAAGAAAGAAAAAAAAACTTAATTTTTAGGTTGTAATTGTTGGGTTTTACAATTCAACGGTTCATTGAACATTTTTCAATCATTTGCAAATACGTACCATAATAATAGTCAATTCTACTCATATTCCTGTCCCCAGCAAACCACGCCTCAAAAGGCTCCACGATATCATCGAATGGAAGAGTGAGGAGTCCTGTGGCATGATAGTGACGAGGAAAATACTCGTCATAAAGTTCATCATAGTCCCCGACGATGTCGTGCTTGACGAGAGTGAGATCGGTGTCCTGTGACATCTTGTGTACCTCCAAGAGCATTCCTACAAGTCCGGCTAAAACCATTAAAACTGATGCCACAATGAGTATTCGTTTTCCCATTGCTGTGATATTGTTTTCTTTCTTGTTTTTCATCGTTTCGTGTTCACGAACGCAACATCTGAAAATGTTTTGCTTTTGTATATACACCTGTCTGCCAATTTAGCACCTAATCATTCTCCGCTCGATTCAATTCAACCGGTCCACCTTCTGTCATAAGTATTCACTTTTCAAGACAACAATACTCCTTTGAAATCTCTCAGCAACAACTGAGAACTAACACCGTTCTTAGTTTTGCCTCACGAAAGCACAGAGGTTCACTTCACTCGACGACGCTTGTAGTACTCCTTCCTTTCTGCCAACTGTTGGCAACAGTCATTCATCTCTCATTCTATCTCTTCATTTCATAAAAATCAACGACCATTTTCTCCTAAATTCAACCAACGTAAAAAACGAACATCGTCGATCGCGAAGAAGCAACTAGTGCCAAAGACTTCCTGAAATAAAATATTAACTACTTTCCAAAAAGCAAGAAACTCATTTGTCAAAAACACAACAGTGTCGTGTATTGTACCTGCTTGAAGTGTTATTAGTTTTATTTGACACTGTAGACACTTTTCACGAAAACTTCGCCATGTCCCGTTTAAGAAACATCTTCTGGTACCTGCAGTATTGTGAAATCTTCTCCTACAGTCAAGTCCAATAACAAGTGTTTATTCGCACGCCTCATTAGTCCAGCCGGAACACGCCTATTTAAGATCTCGTGAACTCCCACCCGCTCAACCTCTGGTTTTTGTTTAGCTTAACCTTTTCGATGTAACTCAACCACCCTCTCTAGAAAAATAAGCGCTAAAATTCCAAGTCAATCTGATATCTGTACTGTGAATCAACAATAAACATTCGGGTTATAAGACCGCCCCAACCCTCGACCCCTCTTCCATAAGTGCTCTCCGTTCAGGCCCGTCTAGAGGGAAAAAAAGCTGAAAAACTGTTTGTTCAGTTTTAACTACGCCTTCCCCTCCGCCCACAATCTCGTGAGCCCCACCAGTTAAAGGCCCATCTACATGTTAACACCAGTCAAAAGGGATCGTCTTTGAAGATAACTGAGATCAGAAGCCCACTTTTTCTCAAAGTCAAATTCAGAGACCTGTAAGGACATGCAGTGAAAGAATACCGTGAAAAAACGGAGCAAGATTCCTGCCTGTCGCTGCTCCAGAACTATGGAACGATTCCCTTTTAATTTATGACTATGCTCTCTGCCGGTATTTCTTCTTTTAAATCTAAAATTATAACTTATCTTTTTAAATCTGCTTTTAATCTTAGTCACATATTCTACTCAGAGCTATTAGAATAACTTGCCAATAAATAAATAAATGGATATTAATTTAATTGACTACTATGCCAAGGGGGCTTTTCAGGGCCAATAGAAAGACCAATGACCAAAATATTATAATTAAACTCAAAGCTATTTCCAGAGTTAGTGTAGCCAGAAAATTCAAACTCAAGGTAACTAAGAACAGATCCAGGGAGTAGCATGGCAGAGATTTTGACCCAGGACCAACAGATTGCATGTCCAGTGTCCTATACACTCAACCACAACACTGCCTCATGTTTTCAAATTGATTTGCCTAATTTTGATGTACCATTAGGAAAAAGAGGAATCAAACCCATGGCCTTTAAATAAGTACTCTTCATCCTCTATCACATGACCCTACAACATCCAGTTATTTCTGGTCCAAGGTGGCATTTGTGGAGACATCTGACTATCTGGTAAGAAGTAGCCTGCTGTAATCACTGTGTTCTTTCATAAAATCCAAATGAATAGCAATCTACATGACCATCTACAAATGTAACCACATTTCCATTTTTTTGGATCAAAAACAAAAAAACCAACCAACACAGTGTATGGTAATTTATTAATTAATTTTTCACATTTTCCAGTAAAATAATTTAAATATATATGTTAACTTTATGTAGCTTTGAGCAAGAAACCAAACTATAAATTATATTGCTCAACAGATAAATTCACAGACCTCTGAGTGATGAAAAAGTTCTAAACAACAATAAAACCTCAGTATCCCTAAGAAATGCGACTGGCCCAAAATATGAGCCGGAGGTAATTAGCAACTAATGTTTGCAAAAATACAATATTTTCATAAACTGTCCAAAATAATGTGAAGAGTTCTGTGCGAGAGTAAAACTCATATTTTCTACAACCTGACAATTTGCAAGGCTGTAAATGACTAATTTTTTAAAAGAATTTCTGATTGTGAATTGAGGATTCACAATGGCGAGTCTACCATGTATATCTACAGTGATAAAAGGAAACCCATTTGAAACTAATGACAATTATACATTTGTCATTGCCTGTGTAGCAGGTGCTTGGCAAGAAGACAAACAACATGTGTGAGAGATCACCATGAAAAAGGCCCATGAAAAGTGCCAACAGCATTCATACTACATCAAACCAGGCATCTTTACACCAGGTTAATTTTGTCATTAAGCAATTTTTATAATTATACTCTTTTTTTTAACTACTTCATCGTTTACTTTCATTGTGTGTTGACTTTTCTTCATGGTCTTCTTTGCTGTTGTAAAAGAGTAATGGAAACATCCCTACAAAACATCCTACAACAATACCCAAGGCTCTTCCCTGAGAAAGAAACGAACTCAATTAGAGAATGAGGAGAGAGAAATATTCCAATGTTTCACAGTTATATCACAGTCTGCATTAATTACTTCCTTTGGAAAGCAAACAGTTTCCAATCCACAATGAAAAAATCACCTAACACAGTTCAACTTTTTAATTATCACTAATGACAGGTTTCCCTTTCTATCTTCCTTTCTTAATTTATTTTATTTTATAGTCTGCAATTAAACCTTCTCTACCAATCTGTCTGTAAGTTTTTTTCTATCTATCTGTTCTCCTGTCTGTTAAGTCTGTCTGTCAGTCTGTGTCTGTCTGTTGGTCCATCTATCGCTCTTTCTGAACATCATGATTGTGGCTACCTGCAGCCCATCTGTCTGTCTGGCAGTCTTTCTTTCTGTCAGTCCATCTTATCCAGACTATCATTTTGGCTGTCAGCACATCTGTTTGTCTTTCTGTATGTCTGTCTGTCCTTCTGTCAGTCCATCTGTCTGTCTATCTGTCTCTCTTACACCCTCTTTAACTGTCGACTAGCTGATGTCTGTCAGTCTGTCTCCTGATCTGTTTTTCTAACAAAAATAGTGGAAAGGTAACACCTAAAACAAGGTTTCCAGCATTCGTTTTTTTCCCAATAAATTTTATGCAACCCTTACCAAGTTTGTTACAAATCTTGTCCTTGGCATCTCTGTTTGTTTTGAACTAAGGTTAGGGCTCTCAAAGCCAAGTCTGTTTGTTGCTGCCTCAACATAGTGAGCTAAGCTGTATCAAGTATAACAATAGAGAGTCATAACTGAATACAACAAGAAAGAACAAACTCGCTGAATCAAAACAAAATTGAAAATAATTTTTTTCTTCCCAAATTAAATGCAATTACCCTATTCCAGAGACATCAGACACAATATTACCAAGGGCTGCAGCTGAAATTCAAAATCAAAATTTGGATATTTCTCATTACCAGGTACACCAAAACCCCACACATTATCCCTTTAACTCCCATGAGTGACCAAGACAGAATTTCTCCTTACAATATCAATACAGTATCAACCAGATGAGTGATGAGAATGAAGAAAAATATCAATTTGGGGATTATTGGTTGATCCAATTCCAAATTCTCTAAGATAAGCTCATATAAATTGTATGGCAGACAGTAAGGAGAATTACTAATGAAATCTTGGGAGTTAAAGGGTTATAATTGTTACAAGATAACCACTAACAAAGTCAAAAAGAAAATAAGGAATGAAACACTATCATGCACTTAAGCAAAGAGGCCTAAGCACTTCTACTACTGGGTATACTTAAACTCAAACAGAACAACTTGCTTTTGCCATGAAAAGCACTGGCTCCTCACTAGACCTTACATTGCTCATTTCTATTTGGCAAAATTTTGCTGAGATATGCATGTACACATTTAAACATCTTTATTTTATTCAGCAACATATAAAACAAAATTACAAGTTCAAATCAAACCTGCCATTGTTGAAATCCCTAGGGTCAGTCCAATTGTTAAATCTATGTATTCTCCCTTAAAAATAGATAAAAGATAGTAACATTATTAGGTAATTGTGAGAAACAGCTCCCTCTCTTGTTAGAAAGGAAATTTTTGCAACTCCCCATACATAACAATCTATACATACTTCAGCCCAAGATCTCACATCCATAAGGGCCAAAATGTGTTATGTCCCATTAAAAGCAGACAAACACAATTACATGTTAGTGGACACAAACTTAAAGTCCTGATTTTTCATTCCCAAAATCATTGTAAAGCAACCCTGTGTCAGTAAGAACTTCTATTAGATGGATGCAAACACTGTAGTTGAGTCCATTAGTGACATTAACAAAGGTCCTCAGAGTCTCCTCTTGATGCAAGCTCCATTATCTTTGGTTCTTTTGAGAGGGTAGCAAAGGATTTAATATACGAGATGTGTGTTTAGCGCCAAGGTGAGATTAGCAGTTTTTCCTTTTTAAATTTGTGACATAGAACTGATAAAGGAAAATGTGACCCATGAATTTTTCTAAAATTTGTTGGTGAAATGGGATCAGAGACCCCTCTTGCAATTCCCCCAAAAATAAAAAGCAGACCATAAGAGCATTTATTATGTCTCATATCTGGTGCATTGTACTCACAGCAATTATCATAATGGCATTATCCAAGAACCCAAATCCAATAAATGGAATGGCATTATGAAATGCAACTGAAAAAAAATTATACCAATGAGTAAAGAGAATAACAAGAAACTTGTTTTTGCTTAAGACAGACACTCATTAATGGGGGAAAATTCCCATCAACAGTCATCATCAGTAACTACAATTAGTGTAGGAGTGTTATGTGCCGACCAAAATATTCAAAATTTTCCTGCAAATACTGATACATGTTAACATGTTATAATTCACACTATACAAAAACAAAACATAGACCATACAACTTTCACAAAAATTGACTTTTTCATACTATGTGTAATTAACCCTTTAACTCCCAAGATCTGATCTTTAGTTACGAGAATTTGCAATCAGATCAAGATAGCAACTTCTACCAGATAAGTTTGAGTATTCTCATTACATTTTTTCTGGATAATGTATGGATATTGTAGGGAGAAGTTTCATGTTAAGCAGGTCTGGGAGTTGAAGGGTTAAATCAGAGACTAAGAGGCAACCTTCACCGCATAGCGGGCATAACTTCAAAACAAACATTTTTTTCTGGTATGGCTTTCTATCCACACAAGAAGGATTTCTTTGTATTCTTCAGTTTACAATGTACCCCCCTCCCCTGGTCCCCTCCCAATTTTTTTGTTGTAAGTTGTTGTTGTTGACAATTTAATATCAATTTGCTTTTACAAACTGGAGACAAAGGTTGCTAAAATGGACAACCATCATCCAATCATCCATAGCAAAAAAAAAATCTCAAAAGTACAACAACTCCTCAAAATCCATTTGTAAACCATCAAAGTAAAATATATAAACTAGCCTTAATCTGTGAAGTTTGGGGAACTGCATGGGAGACCAGGAGATTTCTTGTGTGTGTGAGGCACCAATAACAATTCAAAGAGTTGGCATAATCTTCTCTTAGAATGACATAGCAAACTCTGTCCCACTAGCCACAGCGGTACAGTTACCCCCTTCATTTTTAGTGGTACTTGTCCCTTTTGGTACACCATACCTCATTCATGCACGCATAATTTATGCACGAGTTGATACAATTTTTTGTTTATATGAGCATGGAAACCAACCGTTCTGGACATTATCTACAGATGACGTTACATTACCTAATCTTAATTGTTTAACTGAGGGAGGATTTGAGTTTTCCTTTCCTATTGAATAAAAGGAAGACAAAAAAAAGAGAATAATTATGGATATATTGATACACACGCATAACCCACGAACAACGTTGTGCAAAGCAAAGAAATGATCCATGGAATAATATATCATATTTTTCGGGTCAGTATACGCTCATTTCAGACTACCTGTGTCTTCATCAGCTTGATCATGTATTCTTAGAGCTTCACGAAGCAGTAGGCGTTCTTCCTCGTGCAAACTAGCCACAAAAACATCCGCGCTTTGAGGCGTCGTAAACACGCTTATACCACCGCCTTTCCCCCTGTATATACACCGCCGTGGTACAATCGACGATTGCCGCTTAAAACAATGTAAAACACAATAAATATTCACTATTCTAAGCCGACTACGATACATAGTGTTGATTTTCAAAAAATATTTTCATATGTTAACTACTTTTTCGCAACAGTTACTTGATGTAAAACACTTGTAATGTCAAGTTTATTTAACAGTGGTCCTCATAACCAATGAACTTTCCAGATTTAACTGAATGTGACTTAAATAAAAATACAAGCTCTACCTTTGAAGCCAACTGTACAGTATAAATAAATAATGCGGGCTTCGGAACGAGAGAAATTAGGGCTTACGTACAGAGATTGTAACCTAGGCAATGTTCACGAAGTAGACTTCCTTCTTGTCCTGAATAATTTGGTATATTTTGCTTTTTAATAATAATAATAATAACTTTATTTAAGTGTAAGTGTATTTTAGCACTGCTGTGCTAATTGGGGACACTGTAAATAAGGAAACAAATATCGTAAATGAACAGAAACTCGTTAAAAACCCCAACTGGTAGGAGGCAGACCAGTTGGCTATTTACAAAGCGTGCAGGAGTTGGGCCACCGAAGGGGCCACCGAAGACAAATCCATCCAGTGGCAGGGAGGAGGACTTGAACCCGGGACCTCCGGCTTACAAGTGCAGCGCCCTAACCACTAGGCCACGCTCGCCTCCTTTTTCCATTTTGTCTTTTGCATCCCAGTTTATGAGAGAGGGAAATAGTGGTGAGCAAAGTTAACTGCTTTGACCTAAAACCCATTTACCTCTTCCACCTCCCCTTAACAAGAAAGTATGTTATTTTTTCTTGGTCAGGCAGAAAAACTTTCGTTTTTCAAAACAAGATCACAAAAATGTGGTGTCTAAGAAAAAAGTTATCTGTTCTCCTCAGCATCAGTCATGCATGATACAATGACGTTTATAACATAGCTGGTAAATTTGTCTAATCAAATTCAATTGCACAAGCGTGCTTCATATTCC